CAACTAATTTAATATTAAGAACTGTAACCAGTCCCTTTACTGGTGATACAACAAAAAATAATGTTCTAACCCATGCTGATTTGGATAACAACTTTATCAACTTGAAGGGTGGAATCATTAAAAGCGGTTATACATTCGGCAATTCATTGGTAATAACAACCAATGATGATACAACAATTGCCTTTGATTTATCAAGTCTGGTTGTTACTGGTGGTACAGGTACAGGAACCACAATAATAAACAGCGGTACAACCAATAATTATTACATATCTGGAACCAGCTTATCAGGTGGGACACTTCTTGCACCATTGTACGGGCCTATTATAAGTGCAACCAGTTTATCAAGTTCAGCATTCACAACCAATAATCTTAACCTAGCGTTGAAATTAACTTCAGGTTCAACTGTAAGTATTGATAATAACTTTTTCCATTATACTTATAAAGGTGCAAGTTCATCAACTTGGAGTTTACCAATACCAACAACAATTGGAGTAACTTATTTTGTAAAGAATAAGGGTGGTGGTGATATAACCCTAACACCAGCCGGGGGACTTACACTTTACACCACATCAAGGGTAAACAATATAACAATAACACCTGCTTCAGCCTTTATACTAGTTTTCGGATGGTGAAGACTTGGTGTGTTCAATAAACTTTATTCTAATGACTTTAAACGAATTAAAAAATATATTGAAGGGATGGTTTGAAAATCATTCCAATGATTAATACAGTTATTTACTCAGATGATTTTGATTTCAATGCTGAACGTGGTATTCTTTATCCTGTTGTGAATATTGAATTCCTGAATAGTGTATTAAGCAATAAGCAGATGAATTACAATTTTAAGATTGTGATTGCTGATGTAAGTAAACCTGATGATACTGAAGGTGAAGATAATATTCATTCAGACGCTTTACAGGTTGCAGAAGATTTCTTTACATTTTTACAAAATACAGAAGGTTTCTTTTTTAATAAAAGCAGTAGCTTAAATAAATTTACTGATGATACCGCTGATAGAACAGCCGGAATAGTTTTCACCGTTAGCCTAAGTGCAATAAGACCAATTAACAGGTGTTGGACACCCAAAAAAAACTAATCCAAAATGAAAGGGAAATTATTATTGATGTGGGATTACTTCAAGCAAATCCTACAACTTATTAAAGAAGAAATTGTTTTATTTATCCAAGTTATAATAATATTTACAGCACCTATACACATGTTATTAATGGTAGTTGGTTTAGCTGTTGTTGTTGATTTAATTTTTGGATTATTAAAAATGCGTGAATTGAAAGAAAAGTTCACAAGCCGAAAATTATCACAAACAGTTTCTAAACTGATTTTATACAGCTTTGGGGTGGTGTTTAGTTTTATTATAGATAAGTATTTACTTGGTGAATTCGTTTTGTCTTTAACTGATATTCCTTTTGTGATAACTAAAATTGTTACAACTTTTATTGTACTGATTGAAGTTAAGTCAGTACATGAAAATATATTAGAAGGTTGGGGTATAGACCTATATTCAATATTTAAAGGAATGTTAGCAAGGGTAAAAGAAGTAAAGGAAGATATTACTGATTTTGGGAAGAAGGGTTAATATGAATAAAAAAATACTTAGTATTGTGTTTCAAACTAAACCTTAGAATTATGAAACCTCTGCTATTTTTAGTATTTCTTCTGCCAGTAACCACGGGATTTAGCCAATTTACAAAGAAATTTTACCCAAGTGATTCAACTAAACTTAGGCTTACAGATACAGTTGTAATAAAAACTGGACACGGTAAGAATATGAATGTCTTTGTTACGGCTTCTTGTCCAACTGATATATGGAATAAGTATGTAATCGAAAAAAAGATTTCTGATAGTTCGTATTTCCATTTTATTGTAACCATGCTAGCAATTAAAGCGCAATACAGTTTGAAAAACTCAGATTCATTTGAACCGTTTGAAACCGAATTTTTTATGTGGTATGATAAAAGTCAGGCTTTTACTTCAAGCTTTAAATTAATGGGTAGAAATGGCTATGGTAATCAAATTGAATCTTCTGTATTGGTTGAGTATGACCCAAAGAAGGCTGATTAATCTAGTATGAAACTTTCAGAAGCCCAAGCTAGACTTAAGGTCTTAAGGACAAGACAAAAGAAAATCCGTCTTGAAGTGGACAAACTCAGGGCTATTATAATAAAGCACGGGCTGAATCCTGATGATAGGTTCAACGGGCTGAAGGAAAGAAATAAGGCAATCTACAAGCTTTATAGGAAGGGAACCCCAATCAGGGAATTGGCTGATAAGTACAGAATTGGCCCTGAAAGGGTTAGGCAAATCTGCCAAAGGATAGATTACCAAAAAGGGCTGAGACCGGAAAAGCGGCTGTAATGCAGTCTGGTAAAGGATTTCAATTCAATATAGGCCTATCTTTCAAATACTGTCTTTTAAAAATATCGGTTTCCACTACAACGGTAGCATCGCTCATGCCTGCCACCACCCGGTTCCTGGACGGGAAATTGTGTTTGTCGGGTTTTGTTTTGCTTTTGAATTCTGTGAGCAGGCCTCCCTGTTCTTTTAAAATATCTTTTGCCAGTACGGTATGTTCGGGCGGATAAATCTTGTCGAGGCCGTGCGCCATTACGGCTACTGTTGGCAGTTGGTATTTCAACGCAGTTTTATGGGCAATGGCATCCACCCCAAGGGCCAGCCCGCTCACTACCAGCACCTGCTGCTCCTGCAGGTCGGCCAGCAATTGTTCTGTCAGTTGTTTGCCATACTCTGTCTTGCTGCGTGTACCTATTACCGATATTATTTTACCTGCATTCAGATTGGCCTGGCCACGGTAGTAGAGCATGGTGGGCGGGTCATAACAGTTTAATAAACGCTGCGGATAAGATTTGTCTGTGAGAAAAAGCGGCATTATCTTATACTTCTCTATAAAGGCTATTTCTTCTTCTGCTCTTTTAAAATCACGGAAGTCGCGGATGCTGGCAGCCCTTACTTCGCCGATGCCTTCCAGTTTGTCCAATAAAGATTTTTTTGCTTTGAATACCGCGGGGGCTTCGCCAAAATGTTCTACCAGTATCCTGGCCTGTACAGCGCCAATATTGGGCACGAGGGTAAGGGCAATCTGGTGCAATAGATGAGTAGTCATTCTTTACGCAGGAAAAGGTTTATAAAGAATGAATGTATTAAAAAAACGTGAGACCTGAGGCGTGAATGGTGAATGGTGAGTGGCGAGGCGTGAGTGGGCGCAGCAACGGACACAGGTATCAAGACGGGGTGAGTGGCTGACTTTTTCTGTAAGGCCCCAGGCTTTCGGCCGTTGTGGCTACAGTTTACTGGCTCACTACTTTCAGTTCTGTGCGCCGGTTGCGGGCCCTGCCTTCTTCTGAGCTATTGTCTGCCAGCGGCATTTTTTCTCCAAAGCCCTGGTAGCTCATGCGTTTGGCGTCTATGCCCTTGTTGCTGATGTATTCTACAACGGCTTTTGCGCGGTTATTGGAGAGTGTAATATTGTCGGCAGGTCTACCGGCATTGTCCGTATAGCCATTGATTTGAATTTTTACCGAGGGATTTTCTTTGAGCAGCAACACTACGTTGTCAAGCTCTACCTGCGATTCAGGTTTCAATTGAAATTTGTTTACATCAAAGAAAATATTCTTTAAGATAATGCTGGCATTGGCGGCCAGTGGCTGCAGGGCGATATCAATATTATAGGTAGAATCGGGTGTCTTCTGGCTGAACGGAAAATTTTCTGAGTAAAACAGGTAGCCGCGGCGGTTTACATTAAATGCATAATCCTTTCCTACGGGCAGTGTTATCAGGTAATTGCCTGTTTCATCCGTTTGAACCTTGCTGATAATGTCTTTGGTTTTAAGGTCGGTAAGCGCTATGGCCGAAGGCAGTCCCTTGCTGGTATTTTTATCATATACTTTTCCTTTTACCCATAATGTTTTTACCGGGCGTATATCATTGCGCATGGCAAAAGTATAGAGGTCAAGACCGCCGCGGCTGTCATTGCGGTACACTCGTAGTAAGTATGTTATA